CTTATAAAATGTACAATTAAAAATAAAATGTTCCTCATCCTCAATGTTGCCAGATTTACATAAAGTACATTTTCTATTTTCCAATTTTTCATTTCTAAATCTGCCTGTTTCAATTTCCAGTGGTAAAATTCCCATACGTAATTGTGCAATTAAAGATCGTTCCAACTTAGATAAATTTAGCAATAAATATGACTCAGTTTTGTATGAGGTTTTGAATTTGACATATGTTCTTAATTTTGGTTTCTTGTGTACTAAATCATTCCAAGTTGTTTCATATGTAAGCAGTAGTTTCTTTTTGACTTTTTCTATATAACAATACTCTAAATTCTCAAAATTATCTTGACAATCACATCTATTTAAAATTGCAATGGTCTTTGAAGTACTTGATCTTGGGGAGCTGTACCCCAATAAACATATTCTTTGAACTGACATTGGCATTTGGGAGGAAATGGGCTTCATCTGAAAACCACAGATCATTATGCAAAGAATCCAAGTTTGTTTTCTACGCCAGAGAGCACACATGGAACATATCCTGAAATATAATGTCATGCATGTACAATTGTGCCAAAAATGAACCTGATTATGGCATCATGTGGAAGTCAAAGGTAAAAACAATGGTCCACTCTTTTTCTGGGCACCCTGTACATGTAATTTCAAAAGCTCAACTAGCATATATTGTATATAATGCTAAATGTATATTATAATAGTGTATATAAAACAAATGGTACATTTCGATCATATCGTGAAATTCTACTTTCATTAATAGTACATGCATAAATATTGTTGAATATTCATGCTGTGCTATTTTGTGGCTTTTGTGTTCAAAGGGCTTGCTGACTGGTAATGTTACTCCAACAATATTGTTTCAAAATTGTACTTAAAGGCCCTGTGTAAATTTTGAAAATATAGTTCAATCATTCAAATATTACTTTCCATGAAAAATGTGACTTTTGAAAAAAAGTTGTTCATCTTATAATCAGTTTTCAAATATTTGAATTTCCTGACATTTTTAAAACAATAGTTTATATTTTTAGATCTACTCTATTGAGTAGATGAGGCAAAAGTCATATTATTTCAACCATTCAATCTATTCTATGCATATATATTGTGATATACACTGTGCTGTCACTCAAGTAGGTGGCTCAATCAAATTTTTAGAATTCAGATAATACTTTGCTAATATTCTTGACAAAAATAGAACATTGGACAGTAGACCCTAAGTTCAGTCTACCAGTTCCATTTTTCTTGATGCTGAACAAGTCTTTTTTGTTACTCGCCAATTACAAAAGCATAACCACCATACATAATGTGTATGTCTGATAGATGATTTAGATATCCGTCTAGTTCCAAATGAATGGAACATAATTAAAACTACATGTATTGTAAAATAGTAACACCAAATATTACCTTGAAACTGGGTGTTTTCATTCCCAGTTACCACGAATGACTATTATTCTTACTCATTCAAATACCACTAGAGATATAATTATGCAATTTCTGGATCAATTGTATGGTTGATTGCTGCATTCCCTGCAAAAATATCATGGAAATTCATGCCTTTAAAAAAACGTATAGAAAACCAAAAATATAGAGATCCTGTGTAATCACTACATATCTTTGTGACTAAGCACTTATGATGGATGATGAAGGGACAAATGCTATGATTCACAACAGCTCATGTGGTTATTGCGCATGCGTTCAAATTGAAATAATATGAACTAATCAAATGCTGAATTGAACTCACCTGCACAAAAAATCAAACCAAAAAATGGAAACTCGCGCAGAGGTCCCCTAGAGAACAATTCTAGTTACAAAACGATAATTTCATGCATCTTTTTGCATATAGCAGTCGTTATAGGCTGTCCTTCGTTAAAAATAATATACGGGAATGAACCTTAGGAAACAAAGAACTCTGGGAACTACCAATTTTTAACATTGGACGTGTCTTGAGAAAGAAATCAACTCTCGTTTTTGTACAATTTTCAGGAAGCATCAACATTGGCCTTCCTTAAACTCTTCATAACCAGTACACACTTATCAGAGGGCTTCCCCAACACTCCGGCCAAGCCCAAGTGGGTTTTGTAACTGATATTTCTATTATACAGATACATTTAAGTTATAATTAGTATGTAATATAGCACTCAATTCTTCTTGAGTCTTTTTGATCTGTCAACCGCCTGTTCCATTGCTAAATATCTATGAACCCACAGTTCTACTTCTATACATAAAAGAGTACAAGAGCACATCTTGCCTCCATCAACATACTGTATTTCTACTCATAGAAAAATCAAACGTGACAACATGTGGCATGGAAGAGGATTTAAAGAGCATTTTGATGTCTAACTAGATTGACTAACATATCATAAAACCAATTATCTCTAAAGGGAATCTGTCTCTGGCAATGTCCTTTCTACATTTTGGTGCTTTTATTGACTTTATTTTGATGGTTCATTTGATGTGATTACTCTTATTAAGGAAGAATCTACCATCCAGAGTTTGACTTTGTATCTCTAAGAAAGGAATTCATCTTTAATTCTTCAGTGAGAAAGAAATGTTGATCTAGTCCTTTCAATCAGATAACTTATGTATAGAGAGAGGATGGGGCTGACTGAGTGTGGAAGGTGAAATATGAGGAGGATGATATAAGGAAGGACTGTAAAAAATGGAGAAAGGTGAAGATGATATATGAGAAGGAGAGAGATTAGGTGAATAAGTAGATTAGACATGTAACATAATATGATAGAAAAGAGAGTGAATGGGAGGCAGGAGAGGTCATATTAAAATAGGATTGGAGACTAGGTGAATGGCAAAGGACGCCCTCAAGCTGAGAGGCTGAGGGACAAAGGGACATAGCTGATATGGCTTCTATGGCATCACCTACACTGTAGCCTCACATTGACCCTAATAACTCAATATCCAAATGATCGTCAATGAAACAAATATAATTTGTTGGCTTAAAACATTAAAACCTGGGAAAACAATTATTTTGTTTTAATTTTAATTTATTGTAATTTTATGATAGTGTCATGGGTTAAAAGCAATTACATAGTACTTATACTTATACTTGTATAAAACAATGTTACATTATCAAAATCACCCAAGGCCCCCTATAATACACTTTTTTAAAAACTTATAAATCATGATTTGTAGATAAAATGTTCCTGTCATTATAACATCTGATCACAGGCCTTTTCAAAGGAAAGATAAATGTAGTTGTGTTGCTTTTTGCAGATAAGAGGTGTTGATGAGCAGAAGGTCAGTTCAAGATTCAATGGAATTTTAATCAAATAAAGAGCTATTTTGGAAACTCTCTGACAGCTCAGATTCAAATTGTATGTCATGTCTGTAAACACTATCTGAAAGGCTGAGATCTCAATGAATTTACTGAGTGTTGTACATTATTGCCATCTATATGTGTCATCTCAAGTTATTTTCACAATAAAATATCCCACACTTTATGATTACTGCTTTGTTTAAAAAAAGTAAAAACAAACTAGAAAAACTAGCAAATCCCACCAAACTGAAAACACATTTTGATAATTAGTGGCCATCTTGAAAATCTCATCTTCAACAGAGCATATCAGATTGTAGAATTTGAACCAAATCCATTCACTCATATTTGAGTTATCAAAGATTTTTAACTTTTTAAGATAAATACAGCTGCCATCTTGAAAATTTCTTGTTAAGTAGAGCTCCTTTGTCCCTAGGTAGCACCATATAGAATTTAAACCAAATCCTTTCACTGGTATAAGGATTTTTATGCAAAATGGGACCCATTTTCAAATTCAGCCATCATCTTGAAAATTCATTCTCGAACAGAGCTGCTGTGTTCCTAGGCTTCAGCATATAAATATTTGAACCAAATCCATCTACTGGTTTTTGATTTATCAAGTATTTTAAGGACAAATGGTGGCCATTTTGAAATTAAGCCACCATCTTGAAAATTCTTTTTTGAACAGAGCAAATGTGTCCCTAGGCATCAGCATATAAAATCTAAAACGAAATCTGTTCACTGGTATTAGAGTAATCATAAAATTTATATAAAAGCATATAAAATTTGAATGAAATCTTTTCACCGGTAATTGAGTTATCAAAGATTAAGTTTTTTGGGGGGAAAATGGTGGCAATCTTGGAATTCAGACACCATCTTGAAAACTCTTTCTCAAATAGACCTACTGTTTCCCTAGGCATAAGTATATAAAATTTAAAACGAAATCTGTTCACTGGTATTTGCATCGGTATTTGAGTAATCAAAGATTATGTTTATGAATATACATACATATATCCCCCTCGAATTTTGTTCGGTTGGATAAATATTATCAGTAAAAGTTGTGGTAACCAAATTATCTAGGCTTCCAGTGATCAATATCTCGAACGTTGGCATGTACACTAAAACCTCTTTTCAAAAACATCTATGTTATAACATATTAGAAACAATTTTAAAGTGCTGCACATTATGCATATGCCTGTTTCACAATAGCAAAGATAAATTGATATTTGCAATGGGTCTGATGACATACATACTGAGACAGTAGTAAATTCACAATGATTAATTTTCCTAGGTGAACCATACAACCTAGATCTCTCCCAGGGGAATTCATATTGTCTTATTACATTAACATTGCTTCTGTATTACAACTGATGTTTAAACTGTAGTGTTCAGGTTTTATCTACTAATCTCTACTACTTTGTATGATGAACTTCATCTTTGATCATTTCATTCCTAATTGTGATGATTATATGTGATGAATAAAAAAAATTGAATGTTTCCATAGGTGGCAAGAAAAGATAAGAACATGAAAAAGTCATGATTATGATAAATGATATATATCAAGGAATTGAATAAATGACATAAACATCAACTCCAATTATTAAAGAACCCCAAGGTGTCACATTTTCACACTTTATATTAACTCTTTCTGACATTTGGGGAATTAAATATTGTTTGCTCCATTAACTGATTAGGTTTATTTTCAATATCTTTATCATTTACACTATATCAACCAGAAACATCATTGACTTACCACTCATTATTTCTTCTATCTTTGGTTCAAAGCCCTCATCAGTGCCACCTATAACTGAGAATCCAAACCGTTTATCAGGTCCCTGCATCTTCATCACTTTAACAAAAATCTCCTCAGTGGGGACTGGCTTTTTTTGCTCCTAGGGAAAATAATGAGGATATTTAGTTGTGTATGAATCCATTGGTCTCATAATATTATGTATTGAACAAAATGTATTACAGTACTTCATCATTTTAAAGCATCTGAACTAGTAAATACCACAGTACAGTAAATGCAACTTTGAAAAAAAATAAACCTAAGCAGAACTGTCATACTAATGCACAATTCAAACATGAACCGAATGCATTGCTTTTTCCATCAAAGTTATAATATCTGAGACATCACCCTAAAGAGCATCTCAAACTTCAAAATAAGTTTTACCAAACACCTGTGTAACTGGTAATGAAAAGGAGCTAGCATACAATATGGGAAATATATCTAAAGTGAACATAATAAAAAATGAACCTAATCTTAAGTAATACATTTACCTAAAGCAAACCTACTAAAGGCTGGGATGCAAAACTTTATATTCCATCTCTTTTATATCAAACACTTGACCAATTAGTTAATTGATACAAATGTACTTCCTTATTTGAATCACTAAGAAAAAAATAACATAATTTGCTAACAAAATGGCTAATTTCATATCGATCATTACATTTGCATCTAAGGTACACCAAGATGCGAGGTTAGACTCCCATATCTCCAATTTTAAAGAAAAATTGTTAACTCAACAGATAAATTATAGAGCAATTTTAACATAGATAAATAATATTCCTTTTTCCCATGAATGTTTATAAATGTCTCAAGGCTACATGCAGATTCAGAGCAAACCAAGTTATAAGAGGTAAGAATGAGAGTTGCCTATGAGTGTGTCATACCGATTAGATAACAAAATTGTGAATCATTTCTTTTATCACCAATTTTTAAAACTGCAGAACCTTTCTGATATGGAAGCCGGAAATTGTGAAGGCCAGAAATTGCAAATACCTTCTCTTAATATTCAATTCTTCAATATACTTCAATGTTATTAGAACCTTTTCATCCTTAATTTTTAATAATAATTATCCCTTGTCTCCCATATGAATCTTTTAATATGAAAACATTTTCAGTCCTATTCCAATGCCTCCCAAATTTTTGGAATGTGAACATTATGATCTTAATTTCTCATTATTCCATTGCCTCCCACATTTTTGGAATGTGAACATTATGATCTTAATTTCTCATTATTCTATTGCCTCCCACATTTTTGAAATGTGAACATTATGATCTTAATTTCTCATTATTCCATTGCCTCCCACATTTTTGGAATGTGAACATTATGATCTTAATTTCTCATTATTCTATTGCCTCCCACATTTTTGAAATGTGAACATTATGATCTTAATTTCTCATTATTCCATTGCCTCCCACATTTTTGGAATGTGAACATTATGATCTTAATGTCTCATTATTCTATTGCCTCCCACATTTTTGGAATGTGAACATTATGATCTTAATTTCTCACTATTCTATTGCCTCCCACATTTTTGGAATGTGAACATTATGATCTTAATTTCTCATTATTCTATTGCCTCCCACATTTTTGAAATGTGAACATTATGATCTTAATTTCTCATTATTCCATTGCCTCCCACATTTTTGGAATGTGAACATTATGATCTTAATTTCTCATTATTCTATTGCCTCCCACATTTTTGGAATGTGAACATTATGATCTTAATTTCTCATTATTCTATTGCCTCCCACATGTTTGGAATGTGAACATTATGATCTTAATTTCTCATTATTCTATTGCCTCCCACATGTTTGGAATGTGAACATTATGATCTTAATTTCTCACTATTCTATTGCCTCCCACATTTTTGGAATGTGAACATTATGATCTTAATTTCTCATTATTCTATTGCCTCCCACATGTTTGGAATGTGAACATTATGATCTTAATTTCTCATTATTCTATTGCCTCCCACATGTTTGGAATGTGAACATTATGATCTTAATTTCTCACTATTCTATTGCCTCCCACATTTTTGGAATGTGAACATTATGATCTTAATTTCTCATTATTCTATTGCCTCCCACATGTTTGGAATGTGAACATTATGATCTTAATTTCTCATTATTCTATTGCCTCCCACATGTTTGGAATGTGAACATTATGATCTTAATTTCTCACTATTCTATTGCCTCCCACATTTTTGGAATGTGAACATTATGATCTTAATTTCTCACTATTCTATTGCCTCCCACATTTTTGGAATGTGAACATTATGATCTTAATTTCTCACTATTCTATTACCTACCATTTTAATGGAACTAGTAATATGAACACTTTTTCAGCCCTAAGTTTTGATCATCACATTGGCGCCAATATTATTAGATTCTTTTGATGTGAATACCTTTTTGATTTTCCCATTCACTTCAATAATGAAACTGGTATCAATGTGAATATTTCAAGCAAAAGACTTTCGAGTTTAATTTAGACAGGTGTTACTGTATCTGTAAAAACATGGAATGTGAGGGGCAAAAATGGGATAGAAATATTAAAAAGAAGACTTAGGATCATGGATAATGAAGAATATTATGCTTAGCTCAAATAAGCTCCGATTCATTGTATGGGCGCTGGCCGATAAGTATCTTTCAACATCCGCCAGATACGTACGAGCATCCTATGGGTGCCGGCAACAATCGTATGATTTTTACATCGTATAGGCGCCAGGAGAATTTTATTGCGGACATAAAACTTGCCATTATCTCACCAATTTTTCTTCCAATCAAACTCATCAGAGCCTAACCCACCGGCGCCTGTGAGGTCATCGTACAATTATCATACAGCTTTCGGTGACATCATAAAGTCATTCTGTGATTTCAATGAATTAATGAAGCTAGAATCTAATAAGTACATTTAAATAGTTATAAACGTTTTCACAAATCAAACTAGAAAAACAGCAACTCCACTGAGTAGCAAATCCCACCGAACAAAACATGTTCTGGTAAACAGCGGCCATTTAAAATTTGAGCTAAATCAATCCACTGGTATTATTCTCAAAGATTATGTTTTTATGAAACATGGTTGCCTGTTTGAAATTCAGCTGTCATCTTTAGATTTCTTCTTTAGCAGAGCTCCTATGTCCCAAGGCATCAGTATATACAATTTAATCCAAATCCGCCCAATGGTATTTGAGTTATCAAAGATTACCTTTTTATGAAAAATGGCAGCCATTTTGAAATTCAGCTGATGCCTTTGAAATTTCTTCTGAAGCAGATCTCCTTTTTCCCTTAACATCAGCATAAAAAATTGGAACCAAATCCATCCACTGATATTTGAGGTATCAATGATCATGTTTTTTTACGAAAAATTGTGGCCATTTTGAAATTCAGAAGCCATCTTGAAAATGTCTTCTTGAGCAGAACTTCTTTGTCTCTAGGCATCAGCATAAAGAATTTGAACCATATCCGTCAACTGGTATTAGAGTTATCAAAGGTTACGTTATGAAAAATGGCAGCCATTTTGAAATTCAGCTGCCATCTTGAAAATCCCTTCTTGAGCAGAGTTCCTATGTCCCTATAGGCATCAGCATGTAAAATTTGAATCCATTCAATGGTATTTGAGTTATCAAAGATTATGATCTTCATGCCATCAACGGATGATTTCCATGTATCATTTTGTTCGCGGCCGTCATATGATGCGTGAGCATATTCACGATGCAGTAGTTTCACAAGAATTTCTCACAACAGGCTAATGACACCCCTGCGATGAACGCAAGATATCAGAGAAAAGTGCCCGGCGATCGCACAATTTCACAGTAACTAATCGGCCAGCGACAGGCACTTATGTGAGCTAGATATTAGGTCCGAAAAAAGGAATGTGGAAAATAAGGCCCTAGCAAATGTGGAATACAAGATCTAATAAGAAGACACACAGGGATAAATATGACACTTTGAAGAGTAAAAATGGACATAATGGAACTTACGCAGCATGACCAAAATTAGATCGTAGTACTCACTGGTGGATCTGGGGGATGACCCAGAAAATCTTTTTAGGAATCAATTAGTGGGCCTTTTTGGGTATCACTTGGCCTTTTACAGCCTTATTTTCAAATTTTAGTCCATATTATCAAGAAATTTGCCCCCCCCCCCTTATTGATTCCAAGATTCGCCCCTGGACTAGTCTGCATTTGCAGAATATGAAACCAAAAAAGTATAACCTAGCTCCCTCCCTGATTATTAATAAACTTTATGAAAACAGCCCTCAATTCAAAAAAAGTTATAATATATCGTACAATATATTAAGTTTCACAGATGGGTTACACAAACGGTATCTGTGAGCTAAGGGGTAATATAACTTCATTTGGCTCAAATATATCAGCATAGAAGTTTGTTTTGCATAAGCTTCAAAGAGCTATCAAAACATATCAGTGATCTTACCCTCTAGAATATACTTGTAAGGAGTTGGGCATGTAAAACAACTCAGCTAGGTTAAGAGTATTTATTCATGGCCTATTCTTAAACTAATCAGTAACAAATATTTGGATAAATACTTTTAAGATTCTTAAAAAAACAGACCAGTAATTCTTTCACAACATTAATGCTTTAGATCACCACAGGGCAAAAGGAATATTCTTTTTAAAGTAGAAGATATTTACAGGGATATTTACAGACAAAATATAGAAAATATTCACTCTTCCGAAAAAGACATTTGATTGCTAAAAACAGTGAGCATCCCATATAAGAAAAATATAAAACTCAACTCCTAGAAAACTCATCCCATGATCAATTCTTTCCTTGGATATCTCATCCCAATAGACAACTCTTCCTTTGGATATCTCATCCCATGGACAACTCTTCCCTTGGATACCTCATCCCATGGACAACTCTCCCCTTCGATATCTCATCCCATGGACAACTCTTCCCATGGATATCTCATCCCAATAGACAACTCTTCCTTTGGATATCTCATCCTAATAGACAACTCTTCCTTTGGATATCTCATCCTAATAGACAACTCTTTCTTTGGATATCTCGACGACTCTTCCTTTGGATATCTCATCCCATGGACAACTCTTCCCTTGGATATCTCATCCCATACACAACTCTTCCCTTGGATACCTCATCCCATGGACAACTCTTCCTTTGGATATCTCATCCCAATAGACAACTCTTCCTTTGGATATCTCATCCCAATAGACAACTCTTCATTTGGATATCTCATCCCAATAGATAACTCTTCATTTGGATATCTCATCCTAATAGACAACTCTTTCTTTGGATATCTCATCCCAATAGACAACTCTTCCCTTGGATATCTCATCCCAATAGACAACTCTTCCCTTGGATATCTCATCCCAATAGACAACTCTTCATTTGGATATCTCATCCCAATAGACAACTCTTCCCTTGGATATCTCATCCCATGGACAACCCTTCTCTTGGATATCTCATCTCATGGACAACTCTTCCCTTGGATATCTCATCCCAATAGATAACTCTTCCTTTGGATATCTCATCCCAATAGACAACTCATCCTTTGGATATCTCATCCCATGGGCAACTCTTCCCTTGGATATATCATCCTAATAGATAACTCTTCCTTTGGATATCTCATCCCATGGACAACTCTTCCTTTGGATATCTTATCCCATAGACAACTCTTCCCTTGGATATCTCATCCCATGGACAACTCTTCCCTTGGATATCTCATCCCATGGACAACTCTTCCTTTGGATATCTCATCCCATAGACAACTCTTCCCTTGGATATCTCATCTCATGGACAACTCTTCCCTTGGATATCTCATCCCAATAGATAACTCTTCCTTTGGATATCTCATCCCATGGACAACTCTTCCCATGGATATCTCATCCCAATAGACAACTCTTCCTTTGGATATCTCATCCTAATAGACAACTCTTCCTTTGGATATCTCATCCAAATAGACAACTCATCCTTTGGATATCTCATCCCATGGGCAACTCTTCCCTTGGATTTATCATCCCAATAGACAACTCTTCCTTTGGATATCACATCCAAATAGACAACTCATCCTTTGGATATCTCATCCCATGGGCAACTCTTCCCTTGGATTTATCATCCCAATAGACAACTCATCCTTTGGATATCTCATCCCATGGACAACTCATCCTTTGGATATCTCATCCCATGGACAACTCTTCCCTTGGATATCTCATCCCAATAGATAACTCTTCCCTTGGATATCTCATCCTAATAGACGACTCCTCCTTTGGATATCTCATCCCAATAGACAACTCTTCCTTTGGATATCTCATCCCATGGACAACACATCCCATGGACAACTCATCCTTTGGATATCTCATCCCAATAGACAACTCTTCATTTGGATATCTCATCCCAATAGATAACTCTTCATTTGGATATCTCATCCTAATAGACAACTCTTTCTTTGGATATCTCATCCCAATAGACAACTCTTCCCTTGGATATCTCATCCCAATAGACAACTCTTCCCTTGGATATCTCATCCCAATAGACAACTCTTCATTTGGATATCTCATCCCAATAGACAACTCTTCCCTTGGATATCTCATCCCATGGACAACCCTTCTCTTGGATATCTCATCTCATGGACAACTCTTCCCTTGGATATCTCATCTCAATAGATAACTCTTCCTTTGGATATCTCATCCCAATAGACAACTCATCCTTTGGATATCTCATCCCATGGGCAACTCTTCCCTTGGATATATCATCCTAATAGATAACTCTTCCTTTGGATATCTCATCCCATGGACAACTCTTCCTTTGGATATCTCATCCCATAGACAACTCTTCCCTTGGATATCTCATCCCATGGACAACTCTTCCCTTGGATATCTCATCCCATGGACAACTCTTCCTTTGGATATCTCATCCCATAGACAACTCTTCCCTTGGATATCTCATCTCATGGACAACTCTTCCCTTGGATATCTCATCCCAATAGATAACTCTTCCTTTGGATATCTCATCCCATGGACAACTCTTCCCATGGATATCTCATCCCAATAGACAACTCTTCCTTTGGATATCTCATACTAATAGACAACTCTTCCTTTGGATATCTCATCCAAATAGACAACTCATCCTTTGGATATCTCATCCCATGGGCAACTCTTCCCTTGGATTTATCATCCCAATAGACAACTCTTCCTTTGGATATCACATCCAAATAGACAACTCATCCTTTGGATATCTCATCCCATGGGCAACTCTTCCCTTGGATTTATCATCCCAATAGACAACTCATCCTTTGGATATCTCATCCCATGGACAACTCATCCTTTGGATATCTCATCCCATGGACAACTCTTCCCTTGGATATCTCATCCCAATAGATAACTCTTCCCTTGGATATCTCATCCTAATAGACGACTCCTCCTTTGGATATCTCATCCCAATAGACAACTCTTCCTTTGGATATCTCATCCCATGGACAACTCTTCCCATGGATATCTCATCCAAATAGACAACTCATCCTTTGGATATCTCATCCCATGGGCAACTCTTCCCTTGGATTTATCATCCCAATAGACAACTCATCCTTTGGATATCTCATCCCATGGACAACTCATCCTTTGGATATCTCATCCCATGGACAACTCTTCCCTTGGATATCTCATCCCAATAGATAACTCTTCCCTTGGATATCTCATCCTAATAGACGACTCCTCCTTTGGATATCTCATCCCAATAGACAACTCTTCCCTTGGATATCTCATCTCATGGACAACTCTTCCCTTGGATATCTCATCCCAATAGACAACTCTTCCTTTGGATATCTCATCCCATGGACAACTCTTCCCATGGATATCTCATCCCAATAGACAACTCTTCCTTTGGATATCTCATCCCATGGACAACACTTTCCCTTGGATATCTCATCCCAAAGACAACTCTTCTCTTGGATATCTCATCCTATGGACAACTCTTCCCTTGAACATTAATTAAAGATGATAAATAAAAAAATGTTCTTACCTCTACATCAACTGCCATCTCATCACCATAGAAATCTGGTGTATAGTTGAAGCCAGGTACATATCCATTTGTATCTCCATTCATTTTATGACCCCGTGGATAGAAACTATCCGACCCCTGAGGGTCTGCCATCTGAAATCGCATGTATTGATAAATTGTCAAAAGTTCACCAAAATGACTCAATGCGCTGTGAAATTGTAGGGCCATGCAGCTGGTGAATATCCTAATCTAACAATCATTTCATTAATGATGCAATATCAGGGTTGCTTGTTGCTTGCTTGTTGTTTGATGAGGCTGCACGAGGGAGCCAAGCATCATTATCTGTAGTTTGGACAACTCATGATAAAAAACATGTGTCAACTTCCTACCAACTTAATTTAACTGAATTGATATTCCTGAGTCTATTTTTTGACAGACATATCATCAATTGCTTTATTAATTGTTCTTGTCCCTTTTGACAAAGGTGAATTATTTTAGTTCAAGTCACTTCATTTTCATTCTTTGACTGGATGTTATTATCAGTCTTATATCACTTCTTTTGAATTTATAATGCTTAATAATACAGTCAGTGTGATCATTCACTTCATGGGATTTCCTAATTGCTTTGTATCCAAGGAGAATCATGTATCAGTAGCATATTTAAAAAATAAATGTGATTATTTTTGTCAAAAAATTACATGTTCCCTCTAATAGCTTGTATCCTTCCTATATGGATCATATCCATTTTGCAATATCTGGCAATGTTCAAGATACAACATACTTTTTCCTCCAAGGAATTTTTCTTTATTATTTTTGGTAGATACTCCTTCACTGTAGACTTAACAAAGTTGAAAATCTATTTATTATGACAACGTTTAAAAGTCAGCGGCCTCATCCCCAAATCTCATTCCAAAGTACTAGGGTGTAATATTTTCTTAGCATTAACTCTCATAAATCAATTTTGAATGCCAATTACTGTTCAATTGTGCAAAACTGTCTACATAAATATGATTTTTGGGCATGATTTATCTGCAATATTGGAAGTCTTGGAATCAAATTTGAACAATGTGAAACTAGAGTTCCAATTCTTGAGGGTTTACATAACAGAGTAAAGAGAGGTGAAATACATCTAAGAGTCTAATAGAATTATTATTGAAGTAGTGCAGCCAAGATCTGTTTGGGTGCTATATTGATTTCACTAATTTCTATCCAAATAGTAATTGTCAATAATGTTATAAGATTATCTATTAGTATAAGATTATATCCTGGGAAAGTGTTTATTGGAAGGATACAATTACATTAGATCACACAATATACATCAACACTATTTCAAACCATACCACAGTTGACTTAGAGTCTTGTTCAGGTTTCATTAAACACATCAAAACTATTTTAAAGAGTCTCATTCAGATTGAATTAGACCAGACATATCAACAATATTTTAAAGAGTCTTGTTCAGGTTGCATTAGACATTTCAACACTATTTTAAAGAGTCTTGTTCAGGTTGCATTAGACATATCAACACTATTTTAAAGAGTCTTGTTCAGGTTGCATTAAACATATCAACACTATTTTAAAGAGTCTTGTTCAGGTTGCATTAGACATATCAACACTATTTTAAAGAGTCTTGTTCAGATTGCATGAGACATATCAACAGTATTTTAAAGAGTCTTGTTCAGGTTGCATTAGACATATCAACACTATTTTAAAGAGTCTTGTTCAGATTGCATGAGACATATCAACAGTATTTTAAAGAGTCTTGTTCAGGTTGCATTAGACATATCAACAGTATTTTAAAGAGTCTTGTTCAGGTTGCATTAGACATATCAACACTATTTTAAAGAGTCTTGTTCAGGTTGCATTAGACATTTCAACACTATTTTAAAGAGTCTTGTTCAGGTTGCATTAGACATCTCAACACTATTTTAAAGAGTCTTGTTCAGGTTGCATTAGACATATCAACACTGTTTTAAAGAGTCTTGTTCAGGTTGCATTAAACATATCAACACTATTTTAAAGAGTCTCATTCAGATTGAATTAGACCAGACATATCAACACTATTTTAAAGAGTCTTGTTCAGGTTGCATTAGACATCTCAACACTATTTTAAAGAGTCTTGTTCAGGTTGCATTAGACATATCAACACTATTCTAAAAAGTCTTGTTCAGGTTGCATTAGACATATCAACACTATTCTAAAAAGTCTTGTTCAGGTTGCATTAGACATTTCAACACTATTTTAAAGAGTCTTGTTCAGGTTGCATTAGACATCTCAACACTATTTTAAAGAGTCTTGTTCAGGTTGCATTAGACATATCAACACTATTTTAAAGAATCTTGTTCAGGCTGCATTAGACATATCAACACTATTTTAAAGATGATAATTGAGTCAATTAAGAATATATATAACATACAAGTTTGAAAAGATAACTTTTTCTCTGTCTCTTCTAATTCTGTTGAAAGAGTGGTTACATGAGATTCATTTTTTCAAATCAAATATAATATGAAAACTGTACAAGTTGATTATTGTAACAACATAAATGTTTGAAGTATCAGAGATGTACCCTACAACCTACCAGTAGGTATTCAAAAATATATGATACCTGGTTGGTAATCTAACATTGATAAAGAGCTACAGGTGGATCTGGGTTTCACCTGCATAAAGGTTCTTGAAATCCATACATGCCAAAAGTCAACTTTCATCAATGAAGGATTCCTAACTTTAATGGCAATTTTTTCCTTTAAGGATTTTACCCAAATCTTGCTTATTTTGCGTAGCTCCAATTTCTATACAGCAATATGTCACAGAGCAAAAGCCAAATAAGATTAAGAGAGAACTATGCTTAAGTATTAAGATCAAGTATTTAGATAATGATTCATCTCAAATGGTATCCTACAGCATGTTTTTATAAGCTTTACTTTCACAAGAAAGGATTCAATCTATATGTAATTACAATACTGTATGTAACATCAGATATTGGTAAGTTGTTAGATAGAACAGCATTTTGTTAATCTTTCAGTGCTTCTTAAAAAATTACTAATAGATTTCCATTGTAGTGTTCTACCCAGGTTCGGATGGTCACTTTCACAATTCTGACACAATATTGACCATTTTCTATATAAATGGGTGTTGGTAGGGTCAGAATACATGGGAACATATTACAAGGGTCACTTAATTTCTTGATCTAACAAGTAGTTCCATTTCAATCGACTTAAAACACCATTGGAATGTAATTAAATAAGCTTATTGACATGTGGATTGTGATTTAACATTAAAATTGTGATCCTTGTAAGAGTAAATGAACTTTTAAAGGTTTTTCAACATTGTATCTTGAAAGAATTTGACTAATAGCCTATAAAGGTAAAAAATAACTGTGCAAATCAAAGTTGTTTTGATAGAAAATTGCACCCAGAATTCAAATATGCCATCAAATAGAAGAAAATGTTGGTATTTAATGGTTAAAAATGCAGATCTCCTAAATTCTCATTAAAAGCGATACTTTAACGAGATTTCAAAGCTATATGGATTATGGATTAATGGAAAAGACTCTATTGAAAAAACGAAATAGCCATTTTTCATGATCTTTCTCATTTTTAAATGAGTGCAAATGGCATTCAGGTAGGTGCGAGCCCCTTCAAAAGCGCAAGTGGGTGCAACACTAAATAAAGGGAAATGCACGCAATTCTGACCAAACTTGCTCAAATAAGCCAATATTTCATTGTCTCTCTCAATATCAAATCGTGCCAATAGATTTAGTTACGCCTCTCAAGTGGGTGCAGTACTAGAAAGATCACTGTCAGAGATTTTTAAAACACCTTAAATTGCATATATTACATAGTGTAGCACACAGGCCCTGAAACCTGGCAAACTGGATGAGCCTATGCATATACCATTTTTTCCAATTTGTTTTTTAAACTGAAAATGAAACTCCGGCATTTTTTCTCAGTCGGGACTCATATGGGCGCTAATAAGGACAACTTTATGAACTGTTTTGACTTACTTTGAGCGCCCAAGCGCCAATCACGGCTACTACGGTAACTGAATTATGGTTTACCTTTGCTTAGAAATTAGACAAATGATGATATAATATGGAATAATAATAAAAATAAAAAATATATCATTTAAAAACAAATGGTTGGTATTTCAAAGATACATTTGAAAATATTATATGTTAATGACATAATGTCACCCAAGATGAAATTCTAAATAAAATGAACTTAAAGTCCATGTGCAGTATGGCAAGTAATTCTAGACGGTCATATCTTTCACCATGAGTACTTTCTAGGCATAAATATAGTGATTTTTAATTCAAGTGAAGTCCCCATGATGATAAAATATCAATCAAACAATTCGAAAAATTATAAATACAAATTATAAACAATTTATTACTTAATTGCTCAAAAGAGGATCTTCTTTTTCTGATTTTTATTGCATGAAAAGATTATTCAACAAGGGGTCTAAAACATCTTTAAAAGTAGAATGGTATTGAAAGTCTAGTTTTGAAAATATCAATTTTCGATGACCAAAATCATGCTGAAAACAATGGATAGCATGAATTTTCCCTATGGGAAAATAACATGGGAAATGTTTTTTTAAACTTTATCGCATTTCAATACCAATCCCCTTTTCAGAAGTTATTAATATAGTGTAGAAGAAACTTTTGATACATTTAAATTGAGAAAAACAAGATCCTCTTTTTAGAAAATAAGCTTTACATTTTTAAAAAAGTGACAAGTGACAACTAATCCATAATTTTTCAGAGAGTTGGATTGATATTTTACTATCATGGAGACTTGAAAGAAAACATATTGTTTTAATAAAAATCACTGTATTTATACCCAGAAAGTATTCATGGTGAAAGATATGACTGTCAAAAATCACTTGCCATACTGCACATGGACCTTTAACTTCAATTGGTTGGCAAAACATAAAACTATTAAACAGTACTGCCATACCATACAATGGAGTTTTAAAATGTATAGTGATGTAGGCAGATGAAAACACATGTGAATCAAATAGTTTGAGTGTCGCATCATCTGGTTTCAATTTTGATACAAAAACAGATACAAAATATATAAATAGGGGTCAGGATGGGTATATACGTACCTTGCCTTCAGCTACTTGTTCTAAATAGTTGGATAACCCCTCTAACATGTACATACCTCCAACATATCCAAAAAATAACCAAGTTTTTATTTCAATAAATATATGAATCATTTGCCATATATACTTATACTGTCCAGCGAAATAATCTCTCATGCAAATTCTCAATTGATGTTGATATTTGGTTATATGTCATCCAGATATAAGTGTCTTGGCAATTGGATGTTTATTCATGTATTTTACACTAGTTGGTTTTCCTATGTGATGCTATTAAACAGGACATAAAATGGTCTTCCCCATCACAAAATCCAATTTAAATCTGGCAGTACTCCACATATTATGTTATGCATAGTTTTATCCAATGTTAATAAGAATCAAGTTTGACAAAATATTGATAAATATATCTTATCTTAGCTGTCTAGCAAAGTAGAATCAAGAATGTTTTGTATTTTACCTGTATAACAAAATATTGATATTGTGTTTGGTAAAATAGCAAGACTCTTGGATAGTTAACCAATTCACTTTTCAAACACATCTTTTAAACGACAAATTCTACTAAGTACAGAACTAAGCAAGTATGTGGCACATACTCTAAACTATATAGAAATTTAAGGAAATAAAGTATATCATTCAAACTTTAGTGAGAAATAACATGAAGTAAGCATAATAGGTATAGAGTCATTTTGTGCACAAGTAACACAAGTCCCACTTGTTCAATGTTATCTATTGTCAAGTGTCTGATATAATAGTCAGCCACATACAGGTTCATATAATAAGCTCCTTTTCTGATAGTGGGACCACTTATCAATGGTTATTGCCATTTCTTCAAATATTTGTTGATTCATATATTCATTTGGTTTATTTACAAAAGGTGTTCTTTTGTCAAAAATATCTGTCTTTTGGTTGTTTTTTTTCGAGAATGAATACATATAATATCATCTTCATTTAAAAATATGTCATATGCATATGTAAATATATTAGATATTAAATTTCACAACTACATGGTATATATAAGCCTTAAAGGTAGTTAGGTATTGATGGATAATAATTATCAATACTTAAAGTATCTATAAAAGCGTAACACTCGCCAAATGTTTCAAAGATCCCTTTTACAATAACCAAATACATTATTTCTTCAATTACATTCTCTCTCTTTTAATATTCAAAACACAATTTAACATATTCTGTTAACTGTCTGACATCAATAAAACATCACCAACTTCGGTCATTCACAATTTCCTGAACTTAGTATAGCGCTGTCTGAACCGATGCCTTTTGGAGAAAATGTTAAAGCATATTTCTATTTGGTATAAGTTCATCAACTTCAATATCTGACCAATCATAGATTAACATGCAAATACAAGCACAAGCTTTACACACAAACATACCTATTTATCTAACAGAATTTCTGATTCTCAACCTTATGGGAGAGGATGTACCTACTTCGCTGTGATGTTATCAATTCATAAACTATTAAAAACCTTAGTATCTAAGTGTACTTGAAGTGTCAATACTTGTAAAGCTCATAAGGTTGATCTGCTTGCGAGAGAATTACAAGTTTCAATAAATCTTGAATAATACCCATAACCTTTCAAATAAAAAATCAAGGCACATCAATCTCAGAGATGACCAAATTAATGAACTAAAAAAACAAATAGTTGCCAACATATGAACAAATGAATGAATGTAAAAAAAACAAGCATATACACCCTCCAACTGCCTACATGAATACATGTACTCTTCAATGGAATGCTATTTAACACAATGATGAACTCTAAAACTGTGACAAACTGACTACTTTCCCATACATCTAATAACAAGTTGTGATAAATACCAATGTTGAGCAAATAGCTCAAAGGAATAAACCATTTAGACAAAAAATAATCAATTCTGTGGAGGCCATTTAGTCCAATTTCACATTTTGCAATTAATATTTCATGAATCAAAGAATGCTATGTAGATGATTACTATCAGCTTACTATAAAAAGCAATGCAGATGATGTAAACCATTGTCTGTCAAGCAGAAATTAATTATGTACATATATTATGATATAATAACTTCTTCTTCTTGTTAGTAAATGATTTTGGAATTAAGTATTCTATACTTCCCAGCAAATGTAATTGGCATATGGAGATCAATATAATTCTTAATACCTAAAGAAATGAATACACTACTTTTTTACCTTATAACATAATATTTATATCTGACATTCTGCTGATTTAAGAGACTATGAATATCAGTATAATATTGTTACAGTAATTGATTGCCATATTTTGAGTCAGACCCATGTCTGCCATACATGCAACAACTTTTCACTTTTTTCTTCCCTCCATTCCCCCAATTATAGGTCATTGTTTTTATGGTTATAGTGGATTCTTTTAGGGGATACAGAGGCTTGATATTTTTTGATTATTTCTAATCAAAAGGTATTTCCTTTAAAATCAATATACAACAAAATATAATAGACTTTGGCCCTCCAGAAACATAACTTGTTGGTCAATACTGATATTCTGAACTTATTTCCCTCACTTATGAATGGAAGTGTTATGTCATTTATAAATGTATTCAAATGTTAAGAACATTCCATATTATAATATATATATAATAAACAATATAAGAATCTTTTAAACAGACTTAGTTTAACAAATGATTGAATATAGAACTTCTAGGCAAGGTGTGTCCGATTCCAGCCAATCCGAACAGAGTGTTCACATAATGAACAGTGCAGTGTTCTCCCCAAAAAATTTTTTCAACTGGGTGCCAGATTTTAAGTCTGAAAAAATCAGCACTCGCTACACTCACAATATCTCACTCATTTTTCAAATCAGAAGTTGAAGTGCAGATTCCAACTGGGTGCCAAATGGGGGGCCTTTGGTTTCAAGTAGGGGGAGCCCCCCCCCCGGTAAAAGTGACATGGGGAGATCACTGCAGTGTGTGAAATATCAATAACACATGCAAGGTCAATAGTTAAACAGTTGTCATGGTGATGAATGGATTTTTTCACATTGGATTTGATGACTTGCCAACTTGACCCTTGCAAAACATTTCATTGAAAATGTGTTCTTTTTGTGATTTCGTTCCTTTTAGATGATTTTATAGAAAACAATTTGCAATGTATGAAAAGAATTTAAGCCTAAGACTCAATGCATTGTAGCTGCTTCATTCCACTTAGGCGTTGTTTCCTAAACTTTGTATTCCCGCTGCACGGTCATGCAAAGGTTTGGAAACAACACCTTCATGGTATGATTCAGCAAACAATGAACTGAGTTCAGGGCATAAATCCTTTATTGGCACTCGACTTCGTCTTGTCCAATACAGAATTTATTGAGCAGAATATGTCCTGTATTGCACTTCAAATCATTCAATAACTTATAATATAAGTGGGGAAATTGTTTTGCAATTGCTTTAAAAATATTACAAAAATTACATCTTTATATTACTCATCATTAAATCAGTTTAACTTTAATGAATCATACCGTTAAATGCAAGGCTGTATGCCAATTCAAATGACATTAAATTATGGTAGTCTAGTGTAGTGTACTGTAGTTTAATATAGTGTAGTGTAGTGCAATGAAGTGTAGTGCAAAACAGATGATTAAATGTATTTTTATATATAGACTAATATGTCATGTTATGGCAATATTTCCTATCTATACTAATAATTTAATATTCACCAAAATAAATTTAAATTACTCACCATTGTAATCAAATTACATGATCCATAATATCATTATTCCGTATTACTACATTCATTTTAACATTCCTTCCTAAACTACTTTGTGAATTTTTGTCCTGTCAGATCCCTTCAGTAGTAGTAGAGCTCCTGAAATAAATACAAACTGTCATTAAATATTTATGGATAAATATAAAAATACCGTCAGCTCAATGGTTGAACTGTTATGAGTAATGAAAATCAGATGTGATGTTTAAGTATATCCTATATTTTTGTGCCATATGTCAAATTCAAAAAATCCTTAGCATAATTATTGACTACAGTTATTTAAATTTCTTTGTTTTGTTAAAAAAATCTGAATAATGCTTTTATTTCATGTATTGGCCATTTATGGAGCTTTGAATGTTTTTTCAACATATAATGACTTTGTCAATGTGGAGGCTTGCTATACTGTAGAGGTGTGCACTGTTGGTAAATCACTTAATCGATCAACAAAATATTTTAATCATTCTAATATAAATGATAGAGATCTGACATAATTTCCCTAATATTTTCTAATTCTTTAGTAGTAGGCGATAATTCATTCGTTTGATTTGATTGCATACCTCTATTGAATAAAATATATCAATAAGATGTATCAGAAAGCACAAAAACAACAAAAGTAAGCTTCTGGCTTAGGGTAATTAGCTTGTTTGGCAGTTTGAGTTTTAAGCTTGGCATGTCAACCTGACAAATTAGGTCTCAATCAGTCAGTGACATCATGTAAGCTTACTCACGGCAGGATGCTGAAGATTATCTTTTTGAGAATCAGTTAATTGAGTATTAAGAATCATAATCGATTAAACTTGTGTCGATCAATTAATCGATGATCGATTAAAAATTCACACCTCTACTATACTGTATGTCGGCATCAGAGCACAGTGTACAGTCGGTTTCATGGTAAAAATAGCAAGAACTTAACTTCGACATATAAGTGTTACCTGATGAATGGGACCCTCACGTGCCTTCCCAATGGTAGCTAACGAACCCTAGTGTAACTACATCAGCTTATCTTTCCGTCCGATCAACAATAAGTACAGTTTTACAAGAAATGTAAACGAAGTGAAAATATTCCAAAAAGATTTCCTAAAGGCATGTCATCTCCGTAAGTTATGATACGTTATATTACCGAACATGCGTGAAATGTGAACATCCAAGCATCGGGTATGACTCCACCATTGTTTTGTCGTTTTACTACTTGCCACAATCAACCTCACTGCCAGCATATCAAATAAGGCCCGTTTCCCATGAAACTTGGCCCAACTACTATCAGGCAGATGTCCTTGAAAAATCAAGTTGACATAGTTACCCAAGCCTAATAGTTGCCATGGCAACCATAGAAATGGGCTAAAAATGAGGGCAAAAAAGCACCCAAACCAACCATAATGGCACTAATTTCTAAAATATTTCTAGATATACAAATTTTCTTACACTTTGATATCATCTGGAACACTTCTAGACAACAAAAATGTTAAAAATTGGGGGTAGGTTTACCACTTCAATTTTTTTCTAGGCTTGGTCAAAGTAAAACTACGAAAAGGCAATAATTTTTACTTTTGAATCACCTATTATCGCCAAAATGGCTATATTTTTCAAGGTCAAGGTCGCCATGCTAAAAGTTGAATTACGGAGATAAATCAAGGGAAAGATCAATACCCGGTGATTTCAGCGGGAAGTGGCGTTTCGTTCATTGGATGAGCTGCGCGCGCACGCATAAATGTGATTATCCAATATAATTAGGGGAGGGCTATTTGAAGTAGTTTTTGGTCTCAGGCGCGACCCAGGGCTGTTGTCTTAAGGACATTTCGTTGAAAATGAGCCATTCGGCTGATAATTGGTAAGAGTTTGCGATCTTATAATGTATAACTGTTACTCAGACACATAATTTGACACGATTCTGTTGGAAATAATCTTTGAACCGAGAGATATTCACGATTGATATGCACATTTTTGATTGTGCCATTGCTTTTCTATTGCACAACCCATGTATTGATAGAAGAAACATTAATAATACAGATTGGTTTACCTTCAATACATGGCAGACACTACATATCGGTCTATTAATACCAGTTTGTGCCTTAAATAGTTTTATATTTCCATCCACGGCCTGGAGCCTGGGTGTGTTTGTCTCTTATGTGTATGCTTGTGCATGGACTTCTAATCACTAGCAGAATTTAACATGATGCAAACTCGACATTATAACTCATGCTGTAACATTTTGACTTCGCTGGAAAACAATAGGAATTATTTTTCTTGCCAATCAATCATGAATCACAATCAAAATTTCAGAATGATCAATCAGGCAATGATCCAAATCAAGTTATAACATTATATGATATTCAGCAAGAAGTCTAGTAGAAATACAGAATATTTAAACATCAAAGCTGAAAGTTAAAAGCTAATCTGTCAATTTTCTGTCTGCAAAAGAGCGTCCCAAGAGCGTTTACATTTGACACAATAACAGACTGAGGCCTTGAAATCTAGGATTCCCCAGGAAAATATGACGTCATACTAATTAGCATAAGGATTTCCCTATTGGGGTGGGTCGAGCCTTGTTCGAAAACACAATCCATAAATACATGCTAATTTCTAAGGAGATAGGAAGTGTATAACGTGTTTATCGATTTTGTTTAAAGATTTAATCAATTATCAAATTGTTTAAGTGGATAAAGTGGTCACACTTGCTTCAATTCATAGCGAAATCGACGGATAGAAACTGACCGAATTCCCGATATCCTACCCCGTATTACTGTAGGCTATAAGCACAGTGACCTACAGAGGGCGCTATCACAAACAAGTACTGGACGAACCGATAAATTCCCGGGTATTGTAACGCCCTTGGATAAATCTGCTCTTCAGACAATGTTTGATAGCTTTTCTTCACCACGAGACACATCATCATTATCATCAAATTCTGAGCTGATTGGTCTTGAAAAGTCCTGTAGTTGCTCAGATCTTAATTTAAATGTATGCAATAGATATTAAACTATATCATAGTGATAATTTAGCCAAAGTTTGTCTAGTCTCCCTTTAAAATGATCTACACTATGGGCGGTCACTACCTTCTCTGAGTGGCTGTTCCAGTCTTCTATAATTCAGTTGCTAAAGGTGTCCTGTCGAAGGGTGGTGTTACAGTGGTGTTTGTACATTTTCAGGGAGTGCCCTCTAGTGGTTGTGGTGGCCTTGGTAAAAAATGAGCTATGCTCTTTAGTGTAAATTCCATTAATAATTTTATAAACCTGTCTCCTCGTCTACGTCTGTAGTAGAGGGAATGGAGCTTTAGCTCTTTAAGCCTCGTTTGATATGGCTTATTCTTCAAATCTGGTATTATTTGGTAGCTCTTCTCTGTATCTGTTCTATTTTCACTCCTCTTCTAAGAGTCTTGGGTGCCATATAATGTTGCCATAGTGTAATATAGGTCTAATCATAGATTTGTAGAGTGGCACTATGATCTCCTTGGTGTGACTAAAACTTCTCTTGATAATTCCTAATTTACTATTTGCTTTTTTTGCAGTTTGACTGATGTGTTGTTTGAATTTTAGTTCTTTGTCTATGGTGAATCCTAGGTCTTTCTGTTCTGTCACTGACTCTATCATGGTACCATCTAGGTTGTATTGTTGGTTTACGTTTTTACCAACTTAGTGTAAAACTTTACACTTTTTTTTGATTGAACTTTAATTGCCAATCATTTGACCAGTTAACTAGAGTGTCAATATCTTGGTGAAGGCTCTCTCGCTGTTCGGCACTGACACATTCCCCATAGAGTTTGGTGTCATCTGCGAAAATTTTGATTGAGTTTCTTATCTTGTCTGGGGCATCATTAATATAGTGTCAAGATGAAGGTTATGTATAGGGGATTGCAGAAATATAGTCATTGTATGGGCTAATTCATTCGAAAATGGCGATATGTACCCCAGAGGTGTGAGTACCGTAATCCAGCACCAAATTCGAAAATTCAGAACCAAGGAGGATTGGCTCCCAGAGTGCACCACCGATATTCTGGCCCATATATGGTAGCGTGACCTTTGACCTTGTTGACACGTGACAGGTTTTCTTTAGCACGGAAGCCATTTTGAAACCTGTGAGGTCAAAGGTCACCGCTACCATATATGGGACAGAATATCGGTGGTGCATTCTGGGAGCCAATCCTCCTTGATTCAGAACAATACTTTGCACAAATGGCGTTCGTGATCAGCTATAAAACGCTTACCCCCCATGGTGTTATATACCAAAATGTACCTGTTCATATAGGACTTCGATTGATATACATTAAATTATAGGGAGTCAGGTTACTTTTTGAGATATCAGCGTCCATTTATTGTAACTCGCGTTTGCTACCATTTCCTCAATTCTGAGATGACGGGCATACGCGTAGTAAACATGCTCACGCCGGAACTATTTTGACCTACATCGCTATTTTCGTAATTCAAATGAAAGTAGAACTCATCCTCTTTATTTTGATACCAAATAGTGGCATTCTAGGTACCCAAGAAGCCAACTATGGCGTTATTTAGAACAAAACCACACATTTTTAAATGGACTATATAGTCATACCTTTTGGCGGATGGATATGGAACCTCACACCAGAACTTGAATTTTGTGATTTTTTTCATTAATTTACCGTAGTGACACCATAACGTATCATAACTTCCGGAAATGAATGCCTTTCGGAAAATTTTGGGGAATATTTTCACTTAGTTTACATTTCTTGTATAACTGTACTTATTGTTGATCGGACGGAAAGATAAGCTGATGTAGTTACACTAGGGTTCGTTAGCTACCATTGGGAAGGCACGTGAGGGTCCCATTCACCAGGTAACACTTATATGTCGAAGTTAAGTTCTTGCTATTTTTACCATGAAACCGACTGTAGATTCTGTTACATATGGCGTAAAAAACAGAATATATTTCCATTACATTTCCATTTGTTTTGATTATGATTTAAATCTGTAAATAGCTATCGTTACTTTAGCAGAGAGGTGAAGTGTGTTAATCAACATGATGCAACTTGTAAGATTTTGATTATTTATCATAATTTAAGATATCCCAATTTTCGACAAAACGTCTACTGAAGTGTAAATTGTTACGTCTTACAATGTGCGATGGTGCGA